ACTTAGAGAACTAAATGTTACGTGCACGTTGATGTATCACAAAGCATATGATTTGTTTAATTTATGTGAACTCTGAAAAGCTATATTTTAACAGATTTACAGAAAAATACTGTTCATAAACACAATCATAAAATATAAAGAAAAGAGCCCTGGGACTGTCTTCATTTTCAGAAACAGTGGAAATCTAGACTTGCCACATATTCTAGACTTGCTTGGACGTTCTTGAATACATTGACGCAATTCAAGTGTCATTTTAAAATGCCCATCAAAGGAGCGAGATGTTTATGTAATTAAAAAATAAATATTTAAAAAACTGTCGTGAAACTTGATTAAGTGTATGTAAGCGTTACTCCTTCCTGTAACAGTTTGTAAACATGTAATCTGATAATGTGTAACTTTGTGGGAAATTAACCGGTTCAGTTAACACTTGGATAAGTAAGAACGAGACATACTATGTTTGAAATGTAAATGTGAGGCAAAAAATGCAAATTTATTGATTTCCAAAGATGAGATGCAAGAAATACCCTTCAGCAGTTGCGTAACCTGCGATGTTGTGCAATTTGTTAACGCTAATACTCATGTGATATTTCTATTTGGATGTACATGGACAGGCGCTGCCAAAGACCTGGAATAACACCCTAAAGGGTTACCCATAGGCAGTGTGCCTCGTCCAGATAATGAATGTTTGACAAATCCTTCCACGAACTACTGATCCGCATATGCCAACTTTGAACTGACCCATCATACGACTACCGCAATCCAAGATCGTTGGCAGTTATAATATCTACCGTCAAAACTCACTGCCGGCTGTAGGGAATTTCCAGACTTTCATTATTATCATACATAACTATAACTGGACAGTAATATCTCTTGCAATGTCAAGTTTATTTCCAAGTATCACTTTATTTGTTTAAGAATATATTTTATGATCCGTTTCCTTTTTGAGGAGTATATACAAGGCCAATAGTCATCTTGATTTGGCTTTAAAAAATAGATATTAAATATGGTAACATTGCATATACTTTTTTTTGTACTGTTCGTTTTTCACTTGTCGCTTTTTTCCTGCACAACACAAGCACGATGCAGCCCACAGACTGTTTCCCCGGTAATCTGCAGGACCCAGGTAAATGTGTTATACATGATCCTGTGATGGGGGATAACTATACAGAGACCAGTCTGTGACACCGTCGTGTGTTTTGTCATTAATGTAGGACCCGTGAAGATCCGGGGTAGAATAGGTCTTCAGCAACCCATGTGCTTGCCATAAAAGGCGACTATGCTTGTCGTAAGAGGCGACTAACGGGATCGGGTGGTCAGTTTCGCTGACTTGGTTGACACATGTCATCGGTTTTCCAATTGCGCAGATCGATGCTCATGCTGTTGATCACTGGATTGTCTGGTCCAGACTCGATTATTTACAGACCGCCGCCATATAGCTGTGATATTACTGAGTGCGGCGTAAAACTAAACTCACTCACTAATAATACACACACCATATCTCTGTCTTGTAAGATTGCACGTTACTGCGCAGTTTCTATTGGTATTCGCTCATTGCGCAAGTACTAATTTGTGTCGATGGATTACCTGTCATACCGAGAACGCACACACGCGCATAGACGTGTATGAACATAAAACATTTCTATTTCAACGTTTTGTAGCCGCAAATCGTTGTTACTTCAAAGCCACATTGAAGTTATGTAAGTTCAACCGACAGTTAAACCGTGGAGTATGGTGCGGTCCTCTAACTGATCATGACTGACAAGGAGCAGAACCCGACACAACCAACGGACGTAGATCTATAATTGAAACAGGCAGACCAATTTAAATACCGTTCGATAGAAAGCCCATGACCTCACAGAACTAATGAAATCAAAATACGAAGAATCGAGTCGCTTCAAACTCCACGGCCCCTTTCCATAAATCGTTGTCATAAATCATATATTCGTACTTTAACATTGACTTAAAACTGACAGCTCTACGGCCGGTTTATGAAACGGTCTCTGGACCCATTGCACAGTGATGCCGCGCTATGACGTGACTTGATTGTGTTGAGGTGAAAAAGGGTTTAACATTGCGTTCGCGATTTTGTGCTCACGTGCACATGTATGTGTGCGAACGTGCGTGCGTGCTTCGCGTGAGTGGCCGCTTGTACAAGTCCGGACAAATGACGGTTTTGTAGTGATTGGACACGGAGATAGCATGCCTCTGACATGACACCCCTCTCATACACAGTTTACACTCTACATATACTGATTCTGGGCCGACCACCATTATTGATCTGCAAGCTGTGATACTATAAATTACAGAGGATAACCAGTCTCGATTATCCGAGAAAACAGAATCTGGTTGTTATCGACAGAGAGGTGACAATTCCATGAATGCCTGGTTGGTTGGTTGTTGTTTAACGCCGCACTCATTCAGTTAGTGAGGGCGTCTGGTATAACCCTATAAATAGAACAGTATTTCAGTTACACAGTATTTCAAGGATGAAATCCCGGAGTAATGCATGTCGAGACGCTGAACACTTTAGTGAAGTTCATTAGCACTGGATGGCGTAGACAAACCGTATTAATGATCAAGACGAATCGGGGAATCGAGCCCACGATTACAGGTTGTTGGTTTGTTGTTTAAAGCTGCAATATTCCAGCTGTGTGGCGGCGGTCTGTAAGTAATCGAGTCTGGACCAGACAATCCTGTGATCAACAGCATGAGCATCGATCTACGCAACTGGGATACGATGACATGTGTTAATTAAGTCAGCGAGCCTGACCACCCGATCCCGACATGCATGGGTAACTGAAGATCAATTCTAACCCGGATCTTCACGGGTCTATATGAATGGATTTACCAACAAACAATGCCAAAACATAAACAGTGTGGTTTATTCTCCTCAAGAGTGAACACAGCGTGACTATATACTACAACAAGAAACTAAGACACGAACAGCTGTTTTAACAGCATCAACAACGACATGCTACAACAGTCTAGGACTGCATATACATTCATAATAATATACACAATGCAAAATAACAAGGATGCCCTTGGTGTATCATTGCCATGAACCCAAATTCACTATAATTGATCCATATTTATAGCAGCATATTCCGATAAAATTTTGCTATTTATGAATACTAATCTTAAAACTTCCAAAACCAAAATATATTCAATAGGACAACATCAGTCACTTTCTGGTCCTTGCTGACAGTTATTGACCACTGACTGACTGAGTATGGTTTTACGCCGCTTTTAGCAATATTCCAGCAACATCACGGCGGGGGACACCAGAAATGGGCTTCACACATTGTACCCATGTGGGGATTCGAACCCGGGTCTTCGGCGTGACGAGCCAACGCTTTAACCATTAGGCTACTCCACCGCCCCTATTGACCACTGGGTTACGGAACAAAAGAATACATAACTCTAACATTCCTGTTTTTAAGAAGCGTTCGTTCGAGACAAAGAACATACTATTTTCGATTACATTTCCATACCGCCTCTGTACGGAGATGTCCCGTTATATAATGTAATTGTCTTAATTGAACCGTTTAGCATGATATTAACAGTAAATACGTGCCAGTGTTATCGGTCTGATATGTAAAACCCAGCGTTGAAGATATGTCTGAAGCTGCCATCTCCTTGGTGACATTTAGAGATTGAATATGCAAATGTGGAACATAACACTAGTTAACTGATGAATAATTAACATAGGCCCTATTTACATATGGTGGAATACTGTTTTAATTGGGTAAGCGATTCATGCAGATGTTCATATCATTAAGTCCCCAAGCAAAATAGTTTTACTCTACTATCCCCTACAGTAACGATTTTCACCGAGCTCGCTGGAAAACACACATATTCTACTGTCAAACTGTGGATAGTCTTTCCTAGACCAAACGGTGAAAAAGGTTTCAAATTCGTTGTTCTCTGTATCTAACCAACGTGGTCCAGGGTTAAGCATGTGACGTATATTTATTTATAATATAGTATTATATAATAGTTGTTGTTTGTTGTTTCACGCCGCACTCAGCAGTATTTTACACATAATATATTTTGATTTCAAATTGTTAACACATAGCCTGTTTTAGTATTGAAACTGAGTACTGAGGGATCACCATCTGTCGTGTTTGTTTTACCGATGCCCATGACACACACACACACCCTCCCCCCCAAGCACGCACGCACGCACGCGCGCACGCACACACACACACACACACACACACACACACACACTGTTCATCTGCCAGTCATTACCGTCAAATACATCAGTCTGTGATAATATTTTTATGAAAAGTTAAAATAACAAATGTGGAAAAACGACCAAGTCTGGATATTCATATTTCGAAGATTTCTGATATATCATTAAGAATTATACGGGATGGAAATTTTACGTGTCAAATTGAATGTAAGTATGTCTGTTATGGAATTAATCCGTGGCTGACGAGGTCCTTTCTCAGTAAGACGGAATACCGGCGTTCTACCTTCTGTGAAACAAATGAATCCGTCTTATGGCCATGTTTGACGTAACGAGCCAACGATTTGACCACTAGGCTACCCCACCACCCCTGTCGAAAAGGTGAGTGAGTGAGTTTAGTTTTACGCCGCACTCAGCAATATTCCATCTATATGGCGGCGGTCTGTAAATAATCGAGTCTGGACCAGACAAACCAGTGATCAACAGCATGAGCATCGATCCGCGCAATTGGGAACTCCCTGTCTCAAAAGGCACCTGTGCACTATTTAACAGTAATTCATAAACACATGCACATGATACAGTTAAAGTCATACAATGGACTTTTATGATTTCTTACAATTACGGAAGTGTTTGTCACTTTCATTAATTTAAGAATAGCAAATAAACCTATTATTATATATTTACTGAACTTATTGACCACAATACGATAACCAAATCATCGTTTCCTTCCTTTAAAATAAAAATAATAAATGCTACACATTGCTCTCCTTATCACGCCATTATTACGATTATTACGATAACGGTAGCACCAGTAACATCATTAAACATCTACTATAGAGTCATGGCAAGATTAACAGCCGGCTACGGAAGCTACTTGCGCAAGAAGTACCTTTCCAGATTAAATCAGGAATTTGTTTTTTCCGTACCTTACACCAAGATGAAAAATTTCTGTTCCCAGGAACTAAAACGTGCCCTTTCTCAAACAGTTGTACTGCCACGGTAAGCGTACGCTCTTAGTGTGAGCAGGGCCCTATTGAGAATAAAGTCTAGTTGTTAGGGAGATATTACCACTCACTGAAATAGGGAATCTGTTGTAAACGAAATAAGAACAACAAAAGGAGAATCAAAACTTATTAACGTTAACAATGAAAGGACACGCACGTTGAAATATAGCAAGAACCGTTAAAGTGCCCGCAATCCTAGCATGTACCGCTCAAGCAGATGCTAAGTGCCTTGCAAGAACATTCACAGTGCATATGAAGTTCCCGGAATCCTCGCAAGACATGTCACAGTGCATACCAAGTGCCCGGAATCCTCGCAAGACATGTCACAGAGCATATCAAGTGCCCGGAATCCTCGCAAGACATGTCACAGTGCATACCAAGTGCCCGGAATCCTAGCAAGACATGTCACAGAGCATATCAAGTGCCCGGAATCCTAGCAAGACATGTCACAGTGCATGTCAAGTCCCCGGAATCCTAGCAAGACATGTCACAGTGCACATCAAGTGCCCGGAATCCTAGCAAGACATGTCACAGAGCATATCAAGTGCCCGGAATCCTAGTCAAGACATGTCACAGTGCATAGCAAGAGCAAGACATGTCACAGTGCATATCAAGTCACAGTGTCACATCCTAGCAGACATGTCACAGTGCATATCAAGTGCCCGGAATCCTAGCAAGACATGTCACAGAGCATATCAAGTGCCCGGAATCCTAGCAAGACATGTCACAGAGCATATCAAGTGCCCGGAATCCTAGCAAGACATGTCACAGTGCATATCAAGTGCCCGGAATCCTAGCAAGACATGTCACAGAGCATATCAAGTGCCCGGAATCCTAGCAAGACATGTCACAGTGCATATCAAGTGCCCAGAATCCTAGCAAGACATGTCACAGTGCATATCAAGTGCCCGGAATCCTAGCAAGACATGTCACAGTGCATATCAAGTGCCCGGAATCCTAGCAAGACATGTCACAGTGCACATCAAGTGCCCGGAATCCTAGCAAGACATGTCACAGAGCATATCAAGTCCCGGAATCCTAGCAAGACATGAATCCTATCAAGACATGTCACAGAGCATATCAAGTCCCCGGAATCCTAGCAAGACATGTCACAGTGCATATCAAGTCCCGGAATCCTAGCAAGACATGTCACAGAGCATATCAAGTGCCCGGAATCCTAGCAAGACATGTCACAGTGCATATCAAGTGCCCGGAATCCTAGCAAGACATGTCACAGTGCATATCAAGTGCCCGGAATCCTAGCAAGACATGTCACAGAGCATATCAAGTGCCCAGAATCCTAGCAAGACATGTCACAGAGCATATCAAGTGCCCGGAATCCTAGCAAGAACCGTCGCGATGAGTACACAGTCATAGAGGTAAAAGCCCAACAAATAACTTAACAATCACCCCCACACGGCACATCTGCCATTGCTACCCTCACATTTAAAGACTGTAATTTATAATGATCATCAGCAAAACTATAACAAAACTAAACTATTCAACAGAGTCAGTAATGGCATTTACTTTGACACAAATTATCCTATCAAACAAATCATTACAGTGAATGACAAAGCCCATATGTTAACCAACCCAGTGACGCGTAGAGTCGTACTGTAATTTCTGTCTGAAGGGATACCTGGCCACTTTCCTTCCTCGTAAAACACGGAAACACCTAAAGAACTATATTGGCTTTTCCTCAGGGACATTGACTGGACAGAGTCGCTTGTAGCACATCATCGCCCTGAGACTTTTCTTCCACTCAGTCTATTGATGTCTTAACCGTAGAGGATTATTGTTCCATAGTTGGGCAGTTTGATGTATGCAGTGTTCCAGCTGTGCTTTAAATAACTCGCCAAACCATTCCAGCTTCATAATTATCTCTCCTTACAGCTATTCACCCTTTATTCGCCCACCTGGTGAATATATTAGGCACAGCTTGATGTTTACTTAGGATTGTTGAAGACGAAATAACCCATCGCCTTCTACGACTTCAAAAGACACCAGTGAACCAAAATATAAGACTTCGCGCCACCAAACATGCACAGGTACATTCATAGCACAATAGCACAATAGCACAATAGGGATAAGCCGCTTTGGTCCAAGGTTCAACACCGTTAAATATACACCTGTATTTATACAATACAGCACGGAATAACGGAAGATCATTTGACATCGCGCGCTCTATATATAGTAAACAATCATCACTGTAAATCTTCCAAAAAGATATTCTTTTTCGAAATCAAAAATCGATTTCGCCGATGACGATTGGTTTCTGGTCGCAGATGGTTTTCCTGGAAGTTTCCGAAAGATCCAACGGTTCTGACTTCAAGTCCACAGAAAACGTCATTTCATGGCCATTCTGGAGCTTGGTTTCCATGGTAATAGTGTTATTGTTTGCCCTGTCTTCAGTATTTTGGAATTTGGTGCAAATAATACCTGTTTGTTGTTTAATACCGTTGCTGTCGGGCTTAACGCGGGTAATACCGTTCGGTTTCTGCCATATTTTAACTGACGTATATCCCACACCGTTGGAATAGGTCTCTGGTGCTGGTTTTTCTTTAGTAACTCCGTTCAATTGTTTCTGTTGAACACAACTCTCCACATTCACTTTTGCATCAGACGCACGGTCAAGCGAATTGTCTGTGTTTTTGTTGAAATGACCGACTGTGTGATCTTTAATCGACAAGGAAGGAGATTTGGTAAATCCGGAGCTGATAACAGAATTGATACTTTCACACACAGCAGTCTCGGAATCACGGACATTTTGACTGCAATGATTCCGAACTGAGGGGCTGTCTGAAGCTGTGTTATTATTGCCTGTGGGCTGAATCTGGTTGTCCTCCGTACTTCCGTATGTGATTGTGCTATCGCTCCCTTCGCTTGTCATGGGAATCTGCTGGGAATAGTCTGGTAATGGTGACGGGTCGTAATCACTTATGTCGCTGAACATTTCACCGGCATCGTAGATTTCTATCTGCGCATGCGCCCCTGCTTCACCTTCCTGCTTGATTTGCGTGCACGAAATTGTATCGTCTGCTGTACACTCAACATCCTCCATTTTTGTTCTCTTGGCGTCAATATCAGCCTCGATCTCACTTTCAGCAGCAGACGATTTCCGTTTTTGGTTGGGCTTGTCGTCGACTGTGTAGAAAAGACGCAGAGGGGCTTTCTGCGAAAGAAATGTTATTATTACTTCGACTGAAGAACAGAATTTGAGTTCCACATCATGATGTAGCTTCTTGTACTAAAAATTACAAAAGTGGATCTGCGCATGTCACTAAACGCGTGGATACTTCTTACTACCATTGGATGAATGAGTGAGTGAGTGGGTGTGGTTTAGCGCCGTATTCAGCAATATTCCAGCAATACCAGAAATTGTACATTTGCAATATTCCAGGAATACCAGAAATTGTACATTTGCACATTGTACCCATGTAGGGAATCGAACCCAGGCCGTATGTGTGACGGGCGATCGACGCTTTTACCACTGGGCTACCCTACTGCACCAACTGCCAGTGCGATGTAGTAACATGATATGCATTGTTCCTATGAATTAATCCCCTTTGTAACTGGGTCCCCTTTTCAATTTAAAATGACTTGTTTGTTTCTATCAAAACATACATATTTAGAGACTAAGCGTTATTCCAGCCACAAAGCGGTACGATGAATTCCTAAATACCTGGTCATCTCTCACCGTGTAACAGCAACCGTTTCTAGGCGTCTGTACATTTTGTGCTTTAATCTACATTGTGTACTCCCCATAATCAACTATTCGAGCTGTTATAATCAGTAAAATGTATTTTGTGTTTATCTATGTATTTAAACAGTTCTGTGTCAAACTTTACACCAGAAAACATCTTACTTGGATTTAAAGGGAAAAACAATAATTCTTTAAATGCAATATGTCTTGTTGTGAAACAGGTAATATACACACAAAAAATAAAAGAACAAGTTCCAAGTTTCAAACATGTAGTAAGCGAGGTATCAAAATACTATGAAATTACAAAATATAATGCATACTCTACATGCAGCAACAGTGAGTTTTTTACCTTCTGGTCATCTTTCCACAATCTATTTACAGGAAATACTAGGTCAGAAAAACATATAATAAATCTATTTAATTACTATTATTAGTAATGGAATCACCGAGATAAGATATTCAAAGACGTTTATTCATTGTATGAAGGGGATTTGTGAGGGTGTATTGAATATACTTGATATATTGTATATGAATATTTGTATGAACATACTTATGTGAATGCATTCTTCATGTACTATGTAAAATGTGGAAATAAAGATGATAAAAAAAAAAATTTAAAAAAAGTTGTGTGTCAAACTGTTACCGGAACCCATTATTTGGCTATGGTTTCTGTTAGTCTTTGTGCTTCTGTACAATCCTCACAAACTTAACTTCATTCCAATATGCCGTGTTGTGTATTTCTATGTAGCCTGTTATGTTGTATGTTCAGTGGTACAGGTTGTTCAGCTTGACCTGATCAAGTGAATACTAATGAATTGCGTGACCGTGTCACAACTGGTTGGGTCTATTATTGTGAAGGGGTGCACCTGTGTTAGATGATTGGTGTAAACGAGTGGACTGATTGTTGTGCCCATGTTGAAAATTTGGAAAGCGACTACTGGGACAGAAATATTGCAGTTGAACATGAAATAGAAAAAGTGATAATTGAAGTGTTGTTTTCCGGGACAAGTTCTGTAACGAATCTGTTTATGCATGCCTCGCACGGACGCTACATTAATAACATTCTCTGCACCCCTATTTAATGAAGATAACCGGAACTGCCGTTTGTGCCATTTGACCTCCCGGGTCATGCATATGTAGAGTAGCTCAGGTCAAGCTGAACAAGCTGTACGTGGCCACAATTTCCAGTTGGAAACCAACGTCTTATGATACTGACCCGCCTCCAGGAGTAGATGCAGGCGATGTCTAGGAGGGTGAATGTATCTGTGAGGGACTCGTCAGAGTGGAAGATGTCCAGCTGAAAGGAAACGTATAGTATGAATCTAAATATTTGTTTCTGAAAAGTACAAAGAAATTAAAAAAACCCAGAAATAATACAAATTCAATTGATAACAATAATGTGTTTAGGGCACAGCACTTCATAACCTTTAGATGTTTGTTTGTTATTTTAACGCTGCAGTCCACAGTCAGATTGAGGACACGCTTCGCTGAACACAACCCACATGGAGCTGAGACGTCATGATTCACACACGTCCCGCTACATCATGGCGGCATGGACCAGACAATCCAGTGCCTGGAATCAAGTCCGACGATCTGCGTCTGCTTGCCTGACCACCTCATCCTGTAAGTTGCCTCTTGTATCAGACCGCCTCCGTGGTGTAGTGGTTAAAGCGTCTGCCCGGAGAGCGGAAGGTCGTGGGTTCGATCCCCGACCGCGTCATACCAAAAGACGTTAAAATATGGTACTTGTTGGTCCCTGCCTGGCGCTCGGCATTAATGGGTACAACAAGGACTGGTCGGCTCGGAGTCAGGATAATGTGTCTGAGTGGGGTATTCATGCTTCACTGCGGCATGGTATCTCAGTGAGCTAGCACTATAAAACCAGCTTCAGTCTGGGCTAGTACAAGCAGCCGCGTATACACATACACACGCATGCACGTCGTCATATGAGCGAAATATTCTCAAGCACTACGTTAAACCCAATTTCACCTCACTTCACCTCACCTCTTGTATCAGTTGCTGAAGACCAACTCTGAACCCGATATTCACGGGTATCTTGTGAAGTGAGGAAATGCTCAGGAAATACTATCCATTAGCTTGAATCAGGGCACATTGCTCGAAACTAGAAATGTGTGTTTCCACCCTGCCAAATGCCATCACCGAGTGTGAGTGAGTGAGTGAGTGGGTGAGTGAGTCTCAGTTAAGGATCGTATGACAACCTGGTTTACTGGGGCTCTCAGCTCTCCAGTCGGCGCACAGCAGTGAGTGGAGTGCGTGAGGGAGCTATTTAACACAACGAACATTTTTTTCAGTTTTGCCCCGGGGTATCAGTTAACCTGTGAGTATGTTAAAGAGGAGAGGGGTGTCGTAGGATAACTGCCAGGGCCCCGTTTCACAAAGCTATCGTAGCGCTACAACTGTTGCAACTCCTATACTGTAACATAGACTTACGACAGTTGTAGCGCTACGATAGCTTTGTGAAACGGGGCCCTGATGAACCCATGAGTATGGTGCTGGACATGGGATTCGACCCTTGGACTAAGGGATGTAACTCTGCACGTATTGGCATGGACGTGCTTCACCTGATCCTGGTAATGAACACCAATCTCGTGTCTAACCTTATGATGTTCTGCGAGTGAGAACTTCATGCGGATGTATTTCTTGAGGTGTGCGATGGTCAGTGCGGAAGGACACAGCAAGAAACGGCGGTCAGCTGGCTGCAATGTCAACGGATAAAGAAATCACATATAATGTACAGACATTTACCCACAAATCCAATGTATACATCTTTCTGTATTTATATAGATAACTCCGTGTAGGTCCAGCCGAAAAAATAATTTCTTAAGCAACAAAAAGTTCTATACTTTGGCAGCAGTTACTGAGTTTGTCCTAAAAAGTAATACACGGTGTACTACGATAGAAACGAACTCGCCTGTGACGAATATAACGAACAATTATTGTTGTTCCAGCCACCTGCTGTACGTTATATTCGAAATGCGTATGAGTGAGTGAGTGAGTAAATGTTGATTTAAGCCGCATCAGCAATTTTGCAGCTTTTCCCGGTGTGTATAACGAACTACGGCTGTAACGAACTAAAATGAGTGGTCCTCTTGAGTTCGTCATATCCGTAGTTTACTGTGCACCATGTTGAACCCTGGCACAAAACTTTACATCCAGAAGATGGCGCTAGTCGAGTGAGTGAGTTTACATACCTTGTTATCAAAATTCCATAATCATCGGACTCGTCGGGAGGCAGCCCACTAAAAACAAAATAGGCGTACTTGTTTTACGTCCATAAAAATATAAGACATTCACAAATTACACCGTAAACCTTCTGGGCCAAGAATTCCTTGTATTTGTGAGACAATGGCACCGTGAAATTGTAAGGGTACGGGGTATATTCGCGTGCCTGAAAAGCACACAGAATCAACACTTTCAGCTAAAATACCGTGTGAATATTTATACATGAACCACTAAGGCAGAGGACACGTTTTTGAACAAATAAGCGGAACAAAGTGCACTGTTTGATTCATGAAAGATTTACACCTTTGGATTAAGATTGATATTTTAAACTACGTATTATCTCCATGAGTGAGTGAGTGAGTGAGTGAGTGAGTGGGTTAGTTTGACGCCGCAATCAGCAATATTCCAGCTATATGGCGGCGGTCTGTAAATAATCGTGTCTGGACCAGACAATCCAGTGATCAACAGCATGAGCATCGATCTGCACAATTGGGAACCAATGACATGTGTCAACCAAGTCAGCGAGCCTGACCACCCGATCCCGTTAGTCGCCTCTTACGACAAGCATGGGTGACTGTAGACCAATATTCTAACCCGGACGTCACGGGTATGATCTCCATGAAGTGAGAGAGAACCCCTTTCTGGATTACGACTGCTTATGATCTAGGTTGAAAATACATTCACTCAGTGAGCATCATCACTGGGGCGCCTTTTCAATTTAAATGGAGTTGTTTGTTTTATAAAAATGATATAGTGCATTCAGAGGCTAAGCAGAAGTCAAGGGTATTAGTTCTTGTTGACACATTTCTGTTTTACATGGCAGCCCTAAATATAACTTCTTTGAGAGGCATTTAGAAGTTGTATAGCTGAAGGAAAACAACCGAGTTCTATGGATAGTCGACCGCCTCCGTGGTGTAGTGGTTAGAGCGTCCGCCCGGAGAGCGGAAGGTCACGGGTTCGATCCCCGACCGCGTCATATCAAAAAGACGTTACAATATGGTACTTGTTGGTCCCTGTCTGGCGCTCGGCATTAATCGGTACAACAAGGACTGGTCGCCTCGGAGTCAGTATAATGTGTCTGAGTGGGGTATTCAAGCTTCACTGCGGCATAGTATCTCAGTGGGCTAGCACTATAAAACCAGCTTAAGTCTGGGCTAGTACAAGCAGCCGCACATACACATACACACGCATGCACGTCGTCATACGAGCGAAATATTCTCAAGCACGACGTAAAAACCAATTTCACCTCACCTCACCTCACCTATGGATAGTCAACTTCTTTACTGTAATGAGTGTAGGTGTAGGTACTAACACCGTTATCAAGCAAGAGTTAGTACCTACACCAAAACGTCGCAGTCATTACAATAAAGAAGTTGACTATCCACAGAACTTGATTTTCCTACAGCCCTACACATCCTTGTACATGCCTAGTCCAGCAGTTTTAACAATACCCATCTCCGTTCATGAAAATAAGTTCGATACGAACATGAAGTGTGAGAACTAGATACAGTTTATGCTCTTATCGACACTCTGCCAGGAAGCAAACCCTATTAACTTGTAGGAACACATAATACGTTGGGATAAGACCTGAAACTACGAAACACCATTCGCAGATACATGACCGGTCGTGTCACTGGACTCTTCCGGAAGACTTTGATCTGTGTTGTGTCATGATCTAATTACACTGTATTAGTAACATAACAGCATGCTATCATTCCTGGACCAATTGGTCGCATCACTCGGGTTGTTTACGCCAGTTGTGTGGTTGTTCAACAGATGTAATGGTTGAGTGAGTGAGTGAGTTCTGTTTAACTCCGCTTTGAACTGGACTTCTGTTGCACCAGTCTGTCGTCACTATGTGGTAGGTGAGCGAGGGAGTGCCTAATACTAACACCCTTGAAAATAGCATGTATTATGTTTACAAATTATTTTAAAATTGTCGTGGATGGTATTCGGATCCTGCCAATTCTCCCAGACTGCCGAGGATGGGTTTTACGTACTTTTTGCTCATATCCAGACACAGACTGATGTTCTCGTCCTCCCGGGCCAGTTCCTTCTCCATGACCGCCTCCCCTCGGGCCTCCAGACACACCACCCTCCGTCCTGCAGGGAAACACACTACACTGAAACTTCCTTAATCCACACAACTCGATATAAAGTTAACAGCGAAATATGCAACATGAAATACCTATAGTAATTAACATTTAATTCGGATTAAATGTATTCTGGAATAAATAGAATCCAGTCTGTCCGGAGAGCAAGGGTAGCTTCACCGCGTTCATGACCTGTGTTGTCAAATCTATTTAAAATAATTCCGTCAAATCGGGTAGTGATTGAATATATACCTTAAACACGTTTGTCCCGAAAATGTTCCATGTTTGTTTGTTTGTTTGTTGTTTACAGCAGCCCTCAGCAATATTCCAGCCATATGGCAGCGGTCAGTGAATATTCGAATCAGCTTTTTTTGGGAGTAAAACAGGCGTTATGCAAGCATCATACGTTATCAGTTTGGAGAAACCCAAGACTGCCGCTATGATGCTGACGCAGCTAGAACCCTAGACACCTTGTTTGCACAGCGAATTAGACGCCTGAGACAGCTTGGCCACAGGGCCTTTTTATGTCAAAGGAAAGCCGATATATGTCGCCCAATTTGTTCCCAATGGATGAGTACAAAAACATGATGAGTACAAGCATATAGAGGAATATGTGTCGCCAAATTTGGTGAAATTGCTCATTGGTGGTTTTCGGGATGTTGAATTCAAACCCACAATAGCGGATCCTGGGTGGAAAGAAAGGGGGATAACTGATGAAGAGGAGAATATATTGAATACATACCTTCCGGGTGTGTGGAATAGAATAACCTGCGCCTCCGCATTTCATCTAAAATATGAAGCAATATTCAGATTAAATCAAGATTTATCTAAATTACCATCTCAACGTTAATGTCTATATGTGTGGGAGCGATTTACTAAACGTATCTGCTTCTCATGTATAACCTGGATGGTGTTACACCCAGAGCTGTTATCTTGTAAGTTCAACCGTCGCTATAATATTGCTAAAAGCGGCGTAAAACTAAATTCACTCTCTCTTTTCATTCTAAGGCGATGGGGACGCCTAGTGGTAAAAGCGTTTGCCCGTCTCGCCGGAGACGCGGGTTCGATTCCCCACATTGGTACATTGTGTGAAGCCCATTTCTGGTGTCCCCCGCCGTGATATTGCTGGAATATTGCTAAACGCGGCGTCAAACTAAACTCACTCGTTCCCTTCTGTTTTAGAACGTGGACGATCAGGTGGATGAAACAGGCTCCCTGGCACCCAGCCCACCAATATCCTGAATATTGAATCTGGGATCAAACCACGGTGGTTTTTGTAAGTGAGTGAGTGAGCTCAGTTTTACGTCGCAATCAGCAATATTCCAGCTATATGACGGCGGTCTGTAAATAATCGAACCTGGAACAGACAATCCAGTGATCAACAGCATGAACATCGATCTGCGCAATTGGGAACCGATGACATGTGTCAACCAAGTCAGCGAGCTTGACCACCCGATCCCGTTAGTCGCCTCTTACGGCAAGCAGTGTGGCCTTTTGTGGCAAGCATGAGTTATTGAAGACCTATCCTACCCCGGATATTCACGGGTTTGGTTTTTGTGTGATGACCTCCGTTAATGTCTCCTGGTCTTACACTCCTTAGTCAGCATGTCCTTTAATAGACACGTCATACCTTCATTATGTATTCACCTGTTCTGTGAAATATGTGAAGTGAAGTGAAGTTTGATGTTTTACTGCACTGATGCAGCAACGTTTATGCACGTTGGTGTCTGCAGTTGTGTGTGCATGCTTGCCCTCGTCAGGACAAATGTTGGTTAATGTTGATGGTCCACTGTGATAGCTGGCGAAGAATAATACCCCCATCCACGCAGACTCCGGGCTGACTAGTGCTTGTTTTTATAAATCCCCAACCCCTCCAATGTCGAACGCCGGATGGGGTAACAACAAATAGCATCTTTTATCGTCTTCACTCTGACGTGGCACGGGATTGAGCCAACGGTATTGCTTATCATCAACTGGACCACGTAACAAGTACTCTTACTGGAAATATTTTTTTGATATGACAGTGAAAATTTTAAATGGAATAAAGAAGATTTTTAAAACATCTGCTTTTGTAAATATCTGACGTTAAATTTGATTGCCAATCCAATTATGCATTTACAATGCACCAGATCATTCAGCGAATTTATTTACAATGCACCAGATCTTTCACCGAATTTATTTACAATGCACCAGATCAATCAGCGAATTTATTTACAATGCACCAGATCATTCAGCGAATTTATTTACAATGCACCAGATCATTCAGCGAATTTATTTACAATGCACCAGATCAATCAGCGAATTTATTTACAATGCACCAGATCATTCAGCGAATTTATTTACAATGAACCAGATCATTCAGCGAATTTATTTACAATGCACCAGATCATTCAGCGAATTTATTTACAATGCACCAGATCAATCAGCGAATTTATTTACAATGCACCAGATCTTTCACCGAATTTATTTACAATGCACCAGATCATTCAGCGAATTTATTTACAATGCACCAGATCAATCAGCGAATTTATTTACAATGCACCAGCTCTTTCACCGAATTTATTTACAATGCACCAGATCATTCAGCGAATTTATTTACAATGCACCAGATCAATCAGCGAATTTATTTACAATGCACCAGCTCTTTCACCGAATTTATTTACAATGCACCAGATCATTCAGCGAATTTATTTACAATGCACCAGATCTTTCACCGAATTTATTTACAATGCACCAGATCAATCAGCGAATTTATTTACAATGCACCAGATCTTTCACCGAATTTATTTACAATGCACCAGATCATTCACCGAATTTATGCTCCTGTCATTACTGGATTATGTAGCATTGTATGAGTGAGTGAGTGAGTGAGTTTGGTTTTACGCCGCTTTTAGCAATATTCCAGCAATATCACGGCAGGGGACACCAGAAATGGGCTTCACACATTGTACCCATGTGGGGAATCGAACCCGGGTCTTCGTCGTGACGAGCGAACGCTTTAACCACTAGGCTACCCCACCGCCCAGCATTGTATGAACAATGTCCGTGTAGTATTGTCGGCTCAACTTCCTTGATCACTTCATCACAGTATGCAACCCCGGCCTACCCTTTAACTAACAAACCAGAAACACATTCAGGTTTAACTTGAGATTCGAGCCCAAGATCACTGAATCCTGGTACTTGTAAGGGACATAACACAGTACAGACACTTGAGGCACCATTGACGACTGATTTCCCCATGACCTACGGGCTATTGGGGGTTCAGATATACGCATTCATGCCACAGGGACTCGAACACACAACAGCACAACCAGACCCAGGCTCGGGATTGTATTTACCATCGAATAATCCCGGCACCAGCTTGTACACAAGGTTCTGTAGAGTCTTGTCCGCTCTGGAATACAACAGGGATACAAGTTTGTCAAACAGTTGGCACACAAAGGAAGTAGTTGTACTCAGATATTGTACTCAGACATCGGCTAAAACAGTGTCAGAGCTCCAGATAAGATTGAGCTCATGTGGGTACTGTACCCACTGTATTGTTTTGGAGTGGGTATTATGAATGTTGAGTGGGTATTTCATTTTCCGTTACCCACTGCTTTCAAATGTGTGCGTATTTCAGTCATTTTACTCACCTAAGTATTATGTCATTGAGTAAGTTTACTAAGAGGGTATGTTCTGCCTTATGTCATACCTAATCAAAACCAACTTAAATATAATGGAAATGATTTCATAAAAAATCACTCATCCTATACTGACAGTACAACACTTGTCCTATACTAACAGTACAACTTGATAGCAATCGATGTCTTTTTCATTACGCAAGCGATTTTTATAAATATATTCCGTACGCATTTGTTTTAAACTTTTTGCGTATCTAACATTTTAAATGCGTAATTGGTACGCAACAATTATTTTTTCAATGCGTAATTGGAAAATTTCTATGAGTATTTTTCCCGTATACGCAGCTTATCTGGGCCTCTGCAGAGTAGCATTATGATCGCATTCGAGAATTGGATCAATTTTACAGTGATATCGTAGTGCTGAGACTGTCTGAAATAAGACCAATTATTGAAGTCGCTTTGTTATTGCATGTAGCCTTCCTCCAAGGTTGTACTGTATGATCTAGACATGTCTTGTAACGGTAGCCTTATAATAGCCAAGACTGTTCATGCCGATAGTACCACGACGCCAGTCCTTTGAAGGGAATGTCGGTCTCGCAGTCCTTGAACCGCATTATATCCCTTCCGCCCAGCCCTGTATGTAATTCTAAAGCCCTAAACGAATCAAGTCTAGATTACATCAGGAACATCCCATCTCACTACGGCTCCTTTTCAGTTTAAGTGGAAGTATTTGTTTCTATCGAAATTATGTACTATCAGAGACTAGGCGTTGGTCTAATCATAGTGACAGGTTGTCCTTATTTTCTATGGAAAATCTAAATAGTGTACAAACTAGGAATTTTGATGTGAACTAAATATGTATATGTATTTGCCTAGACTAACAACTAGTCTCTGAAATGAACATATTTTACTGAAAAAAAGTTCATAGTAAAAATTTTTTATATATAATGAAAAGGAGCCCTGAGACTTTCTTCATTTTCTGAAGCTGAGGAAATCTAGACTTGCCCACATTTTCTAGACTTGCGTGGCCTTTCTTGGATATATTTGCTTCAGGGTCTGTACGACAGACTAGTATTTGCCTTAAGGAAATGAGTATTGTAATTAGATGGCTTTCGATAACGCCGTGTATTTCGAGTGTGACACAACACAAAGCTCGAATGTCGACGGGTGGAGAGTATATTCTGGCGACAAATACCCTGGAGCATGTACCTGATGTTGAGAAGCGGTCTCGTCTTGTGTACTTGGACATCACAGATGGGGCAGAACTTGCTGGACTCCAGGTACCTCACAATACATGTCCGGCAGACTGCAATGAAAATAACGCCGTTAAAATACGGGCAAAAGAAACTATGCACTGAAAATCTGAAATTGACCAGAAAATTAAAAACCTATCAAAAAGTTACCAGGCGAAAACAGCGAGTGCGTGAGTATAGTTTTACGCCGAATTTAGCAATATTCCAGCAATATCACAGCAAGGAACACCAGAAATGGGCTTCAAACATTGTACCCAAGTGGAAATCAAACCCGGGTCTTCGCCGTGACGAGCGAACACTTTTACCACGAGGTTACCCCACCGCCTCAGGCTGAAAACAGTTGCCGTTCGTGGTATTTTCGGTCACCATAAAACCTGGGTGTACAAGCTTTCTTTAGTCCGGCTGTTTACATTAAAATATTACGGAATGTAACATTACGCTAGTGCAACTTCCTGCCAGAGAATTTTGGTGCCTAAAAAAATCCAGGATACAAATTGCCAAAAAATATGAATAAAAAAATACGAGAGATTTTGCGTAAAAAGATACATCCTGTTGCTGTTATTAATAGGAGCTCTGAGGTCTCACGCACCTCCTTCTTAGATTTCGATATGAAATAGATATTTTCCAAAGCCGAATTTCCACAGTGAACAGTGAGTGCTCTCTGCATTTTCCCCATCTTAAAATATGATAAATGTGTAAATATCGAACTTTTCCTTTTCTCAAAGCAATACTTTGCAAAGTCAGATACGAAGTTTTGCGGGTATATATCTCAGTGATGTAAGATATTACATTTGATGCTGTACTTCACAATTTCACGGCTATCAACCTGTGAATATATATTTAGTAATACATGTAAATACAGAAACAGTTCTCTGTAAATGATCTCGAACATTTTCACAGAAGTGGGGCTTCATCGATTTTCTAAATTGTGTAGGGATTTTTTTCATTGTATCTCCGTTCCCTACAAGATAAAACGTGTAAGGAAATGATACAACGTGTAAAGACATGATACAATATGTAAGGACATGATACAACGTGTAAGACCTTTTCTGGAGTTTTCCAGCCTTTTTGTAGCACGCTTTGAATTAATAGAATTAATTACGTCACATAGGTTGAGACAGTTATGATCGATCAGCGCACCTGTCAGTGTCAGGCATCATCTCGTGGGAAACCCTGACTCCCACAGAGGCGTTATAGTGAGGACCGGAGGGGTCCAGGAAAACCAGTGACTGAAGGCACTTGCAATGATCTACGAAATCATCCCAAAACATCAAAATATCTTCAAAACTAACGCTGACCATCATGTACAAAAAGCTCCCTCTAATCCGGGCAGAACTGCATAGTGAAATCGTCCAGATTAACACATGTCCAGTTTAACGAGTTGTAGTAATGTCCCAATGCCCTGTCGGCGTCAAGAATTCGTCCATTTTATTATTAATTCATGCTATCAAGGTGTAACGGTATTTCAGCCTTCACACATAATAAATAGTTTTTATCGTACAATCTTTAGAACGGACAAAATATACATTTGAACCACAGCATAGTTGGGGAAATGAAGGTGTTATAATGTGACCCTTCGGGTGTTCAGCGGAAAACTGTGAGTCTACTGTGACCGACAGTTCCTTTAGTCAGTCTTTGCCTTTTAAAGCAATATTTCAGCAATATAAGAGCAGGGCGCAAGAGCTTCATTATGCCTACGTGAGGAATCGAACCCGGGCCTTTGGCGCGACAAGCTGACAGTTTTATCACTAGGCTACCCCATAGTACCGATGAATATGCCTTTACCAAGTCAGCTGACATGACCCCCGATCCCTTTCGTCACCTCTTACCATGGGTTGCTGAAGACCAGCTGTAGCCCGGATGTTCAGGACCTGCTCCGACGTGGTGACAAGGAAGGAGCTGTCTAGAATGCAGCGCAAACCCCTCTCCCACTCACTCACTCACTGACACACTCACTCATTCTCTCAATATGTGGACCCAATCTTGTGGGACATACTTATCTCACAAAGTATCGTAATAGTGGTTGCGCTTTGAACCTACGAGCCATATGCATTTCATAATGGAAAAAAACCGAATCTAATTTTCCTTGATGTGAAATATAGTGTTTATGCAACGCAACTATGTTTTAATAACGCAACTGATAAGACCAGAAAAAAACCAACTTGCTCCGTGAATCAAAACAGCTATTTATCAGGTCCCGCTACCGGGTTTCACGTGGTTGCCATATCAAGGGTCCACTTAAAATCCGAAACTATTTAATTCAAGATTTCAAATTTTGACACAGATAATCTTCATCAGGGTTCAAAGGCCTCTGCGTAGGAGGAGATGGGGAGCCTACTGAGAGGCTACTTTCACAGCAGTGCCTCGTTCCCTCATGTAACTATCTATTGCGATGACGGGACGTTTTATGACAAAGCAAATATTTACCTACCCCCAGCGACAGATAAAACTTGTGACTTAACCCCACACGACCTAGGTACTCTGGCTATCAGTACAGATAAAGAATGCAACATAAGATGATTCGTTCAAGGAAACTTAAAGTGGATGATAAAAGTAATAATCATAATAATAAAAGTCCTGGGTGGATTCGAGTAGGTAGCGTTTCCTGAGACAAGTCCCCCTCCACGTTTGTTTAGACTGTAAATGTAAAAATTTATATATATTTCAATGGATAACTTATATTCTACCATGACTTCAGTAAATACTGGATTGTGATTGGTTAATCAAAGTCATTCAGAGGTATATAATCTGATTTTCCAACACAGGATTTTAAAAAAAATATCTTAATAACGCGGTTATGGTAGAATGGTGATAAACGTACTGTGTTGGAAGATCAGAGGCATACAACGAAATTATAAAAGCTCAGGGGTATATAACCCAAGTCTTCACTGAATAAAGAATCGATTCGAAACCATACAGATTCTGAAACATAATATACCCAATGGAGCCCTAGTCTGTCTCACAGTCCCTGAACCACATTATTTTCCTACTGCCAAGCCTCTCTGCAATGCCAAAGCCCTCAATAAAGCAAGTCAAGGTTTCCTCAGGTTCTGAATCTCTGGTTTCCCTGGGGCTCCTTTTCAATTTAAATGGGCTTGTTTGTTACTACCAAAATTATATATATTCAGAGACTAAGCATTAGTCTAAATGGAGCCCATGCAAGTCTAGAATGTGTGGCAAGTCTAGATTACCATAGATTCAGGGAATGAAGAAAGTCTCTGGGCTCCTTCATATTTTATTAACTTAATTTCAAAACTTTTTTCTCTGCAAAATTATTCAGTAAATTTCAGAGACTTGTTAGTCTAACGTTTGTTCTACGTTTAGAAAGGGCAAGGGCCCTGAGCTGATGTTGAGCCTTGCGAACCTGACTGGACCAGGATCAACCAAACCCTCTTTGTTGCAACTGTATCTTTTAATCTGTTGAAAATAATAATCAACCGTGTCTCCGTGTATGCAGTGGTTGAATATAGAAGCGGATGAATCGTGTTTTAGGCCACAGTGAACACTATTCCAACGAATGATTTTGAAATATGCCTCTGTTCGACCAGCAGCTAGGAAGATGTGATTGTATACAGTGACTCTCATACAGGCAGTTCGGCTTGTATACTTCTCAGGAAGCTGAGAATGAGAATCGATGATAATGTACTAATATAAAGATTCACTTGGTAAATTAAATTTGGCGCATTATAATTCTGATTAGATTCCATATCACCCGATCCGAGTATATCCGAGCTGGAATTGTTCATCAACGACGCTTGGCTCGCTGACTATGTTGATGCATGTTATAGTGGGCCAATCAACAGATCGAAGATCATAAAGTCAGTCACTGGATTATCCAGACCTGAAGGGTGGTAGTGTAGCCTAGTGGTTGAAGCGTTCGCTCGTCACGCCGAAGACCCGGGTTCCATTACTTGAGTACAATGTGTGAAGCTTAAAGCTGCGTAAAATAAAACTCACTCACTCCAGACATTCACAGACAGGCGTCCTAAAGCTGGCAAATTACTAACAACAAAGACAACAGATGATTTAATCAGTCAAACATTAACATTTCACGCAGTGATGCTGAACTGAAAACTTTCGGACAGAAACTGTCACTGTCAGATTGGTCGTGTTCACTACTTCGTTTGTGCTACTCTGGTATAGTTCTAAAACAGCAAATACAACCAAGCTTTCATCCACTGTAACTAGTCTTGACTTTTTAACAACGCCGGATGCCTTATATAAACCAAAATGCTTATGTGACATGCTTCTCATCTCAACTTTAGAAACAGAATTATTCCTTCGAAAACAACTTTTGAAAGTGAAGAAACTTGCCCCAAAAAATTCAAACAAAAATATTTGAAACTTCAAAGCCTGTAAAAACAGCGCTGTCATGCTTTTTAAAAGGCGACATTCAAGTTTTGCTAGATTTCCTTATTCTGTCAGCCTGAATTCCTTACACACCAACACAAGCACGAACTTCATTCACAAACTCATCACGTGACTGTCATGTGAGAGGTTGGTTTTTGCCATCAATCACTGTCAACAATGTAACCGATATCCGCACGCGGTCATCGAGTACCTTGCCAATAGCAGTGAGGGGCAAGACGGGTGGGCGAAACTGGCATGTTTCTATTGCATACATAGCTCAATTAGTCGCGACGCCAAGCAAACAGATCATGTGGCGTGTTTAAATGTCAAACCAGCAAAATATAACGGAATCGTCTGGAGTTTGACTACATTCGTGACATATTTAAATTTCAAAATTTGGAGCGAACATTTTAAAGTATGTTATTGTGCCGCTTGTGCGCTTAATGAAATTCGGACTTTAAACGTAACATTTGAACTTTTAATAGTTAGGTGACGCGTGCGAGTGGGATTGTAAACAGCACTTTGATACACAGAAGACGTATGCATAAAACATAAACGAAATCCGCGATACATATAGTTGAGAGAATATTTTTAAATGTTCGAAATACTTTTTTTTAAATTAAATTGAAAATTTATTTTAAAATAAGTAGGAGAGAAGCATAATTTCTACAGCATACACAATTTTACAACTTGAGGATAAAAT